TGTAAATACTGATATTTGAGCTAATAAAAATTAGAACTATATTGGGATTATCGAGGGGATAGAAATATGTATGTTTGTGAAGCGAGGTTTTGGGAAAGAGCTAATTTGTCATCTGCCAAAGTGGGAAGTCAATAGGTAATAGCAATAACACTTAAAAAAAATCAGGAAATAAGAGTGTGAGAATGTCATTTAAAGACTTGGAGGTAAATACCAAAAGAAACAGAGAATTGAAAGCAGGTGTCTCTTGGGAATTGAAAATGGGGAGAAATTATTGTTTTTCTTTATATGCTTTGTGGAATTGTTTCTTTTTGAGCTATATATAAGAATAAGTTTGATTAAAAGATAACCAAGCCAGAAACAATAAGCAGGCATATACACATCTAAAATATATAAAAGTCGGATGGTAGATGCATAGTCTCTCCCCCACTACAAGGAAGAAACTGTACAGATTTGTCATATGTTATATTCTCAAGTATAACTCACTTTTATTCCCTCTTAACTCTTCTCTTTCCTTGAATAGAATAGACTTTTCATAACTGCTTTAACTGCCTGCATTTTCCCAACTGGGATCTCTACAAGGGATTTTTCTTTATAATAGAGCCTAAAAGGCTGTAGGGCAATATTCAGAAGAGAGTCACACAAACTGGCTCCTCATGTCTCCCAACTCCCTTATCTCTTCTTCAGAGCATAGAGCGGTCATGGAAGCTGCTTTTGTGTATGGGACCACGTACCAGTTTGTCCTGACCACGGAAATTGCCCTTTTGGAAAGTATTGGGTAAGTACAAGAGGCATATGTGAACAATTTTAAGTTTGCTTCTTTTACATTACTTACTCAACATCTCCATCAGACTCACATTGTGGACTTACCCGAAAGGAATTGTAAGCAGATGTGAATATATAAATGAAACCAGAAATCCCCTTCATTACTATTGTCTGCTGTTCTACAGTCTGAAAATGATTTTAAATATACAGAGGTGATATTAGGCTAAGGTGAACAAAGTCAAAATGGATAAGCCACAAGATGTGATCCCATGAGTGGCCAAGTGTATTTTAGGATTACATCTCCCACAGTGATCAGATAGGTGATAAAATAACAGCTTTCATAACTAAGCTCCAGAAGTTCTTTCTGAGAGTTCTGTAAGTTATTTTGTCAGAATAGTCTTAAATATATTTAAGTACCGTTTTTGAGCAGAACGTTTTAAATGTTTATTTTTCATGTCTAGTTTCTAGCTTACAATTTCAGGTTGAGACCTTCTTTTGACTTTTTGCCTGGGCAACCTAGGGTTGAAGTTTTTCTTTTCTTTAGTACTTACAGATACAAGGAATAGCCATGTATTTTAAAGATGTGGCTTTAAAATGCTTGTCAGGAAAATTAACCCAAAGCCAAGCAAAATGGTGATTCTGTGACTTACACCATGCAAGAGTTTTTAATGAGCCCTCTTGCTAACCTCTCAGAAAACAGTGACTGTTTGATATACTATACACAATTAAACCCCAGACATTTTACAACTTTGTAAATTTAGAGGTTAGAGCATAGAAAGCAGATTAAGTGAAATGGTTTTTTGAGAGGAGTGGGTAGGCAGAGAATTAAGTTCCTGAGAAGAGACGTTCTGTTTTTACCACTCTGTACAAAGTTAGCTCGTATTCCTTTTTACATTATCTGTTCGTGAACTGTCACTCTGCTGGTTCCCTTATTAACGAGTTAAATAAAACTCTGATGCATGTTTACTGTTTGTATAAAAATTAATATTTTTAGCAATTTGAGACTTGTGTTGACGGTACCACAGAGCTTTGCCCTAAGTCATGGAGTCTTGAGATAACGATGAGCAGCTGGTTTGCTACTCCCAGTGTAGACTGGGGGAAGCCTTCTTATTCTCATCTCATGGCGGTTCTATCCTAGCTCCACAGTTTTTCTGAGGGTTAATTGTTTATACTTTTTTGTGTGTGTCACTAGCTTCTTTATTTATTATTTTCAACTTTATAGTTGTAAATAAAGGTGACATGCCTAAAACATAGAGGGGTGTTTATTAGCAATTTAAATTATTTATTTATTATGTATATAGGTTCTGTCATTTTATCTTACAAATTCTGTTCAGCAAGATATACTATATACATAGTATATTTTCTGATCTATGGCTAAACATGGTAATGTTCTGGAGGGGTTTTTGCTTTCCCTTATTTTTAAAATGAGAATTTTAAGATATCCAGTTATTCTTTTTTTTTCTTTTGTATACTTTTGAGTGTATGATGCATTGGAGATGTTTGAATACTCATTTTTTCATGGGTAGCAAAATGGTGAGTGATCATACCTAGACCTGATATGACAGGAAGGTACTGTGGATTCAGAGTACAGTAGTCATATGGCATGACTTCTAGATGAAGAAGTTGGCTATGACTTTGGGTTGTCTCTTAGTAGAGGAGAGGTGAATGCATTTTTTCCTTTGTTCATTCTTTTACTCAACAAATATTTATTGAATGCCTTCTGTGTGGTAGGCACTATTCTAGTTGCTGGGGCTGTAACACTGGATAAGTCTAGTATATTAGTTGTTATAGCACATTGCGCCTGAATTTGTTTGAAATTATATGTTGGTTAAGGGAGGTGTACATGATAGGTAGTATAAGAGGTAGATACCATAGGAACACCAGGGGTTTCTGTTACCTCCCCGTACTCCCTTCTTTAAGAATCTGTGTATAGACCAAGAAACATGTTACACCCTCACCCCATTTATCACTGTCAGTTAAATCAGAGATGGCCATCTGATCCATGGTCAGCCAGCCCACTGGCTTATCTGAGCAAATTAGGTCCCCTCTCAGGAACTTGGAATTGAGCATGGAGAAACTAAACTGTACACTGTTTTGGCTCTCTTGCTTATAGGAATTTTTTGCCCATGTAGAAGTA